TCTGACCTGTAACCCCTACATTATTTCCAGCTCTTTCCAGACACTCCAGATCAAGATTCCATCACACCAGTGATTCTCTGCCAAATATGTACCAACTTGGGGTCCTCTCCCGCTTTCTTGGAGGAGGGAGTGCGCTGAGTCCATACTTCCTGCCTCACCTACTGTAGCCTGTCAATCTGGACTTATAAGACACCAACTTCACTATGGCACCACTGTCTGGTACCTTCTTCCCTCTTCACAAGGTATGGCAACTGAAGATGTAAACTGGAACCTCTTATCTAGATTCCTCGACTTCTTCATCTCCTTCTAGGTTTGAAATCTTATCCAAGTGGTAATCTTAACAGTCATTGTTGGTTTACTCCTTCCCCTCGTCCTACCTGTCATCATTCATGAGGCCAGAATTTCCTGCCAGCCTAAGACTGGTTACAAATCCAGCTGCTTCTCTTCATTCTTACTCCAAGAATCCTGAGTGTTGATAATGCATTTATGGAGTTGTTGGACATGGACTTCATTGAATAAAGTTAGGAAAGGAGAGTGCGAAGGCACAGAGAGAGAAAATATATTGTAGTGTATTGTAGTGAAAGTACATTGCTCTGTATGATCCTTTGACTTCTAAACCTTATGCCCCTATTTGGGATCTAATCTGTAACTTTGGTTTATGACACAGTTTTAATTTGCTGTGTATATTTATGAGCTGCCTTGCTAAAAGCCCCTATACTTTGGCCTCCCCAACTACATGCTCTGAGACTCTACAATGCCTGGCAAAGAGTCAGCACTGCCAAGGTAGTACCAAAGCTGAAACACTGCTACCCTGCATTTGGAAGAAGGCCTATACTAATGGTTCAGATGTTCAGGAGGAAACACCCCATTCTTGCTTCAATCAAGGAGAAATGCCACATGTACACCCTTGTTTCAAGGCAAAGAGGAACACTCCCACTGCCATCCAGATAGACTCAGAAAAGAAACCGTATCTAATCCACACTAAAAAAAACCCAGCCAGCAATGCAATCACTGACAGCCCTTGGACTGCTTTATTATCTCCAACTCTTGGCTGATGTCTAGAAATCTTCCTCCTCATCTTTCAAGGATCACTTAAACCCCTGTATAGTCCCTCAAGCTCTGTCCTTCTTCCTCTCTCCTGTACCTAATTAAGTTTTGCTCTTGCTGTATCTGCTATCTCTGTAATCATTGCTGCCTACTCACTGACTGCCAGTACTGATAAATGTCAATACTCTGCTAATAAAGCCATCCTTTCTTGGCACAATCCAAACAAACCAGCTGGATGGGCAATAGGTCAAGTTTGGGCTATTGGCACCTACCTCCCTTTACTCTGTGAGCCACTGACCAGAGCTATGACTAAGTGCTCTGACTATTGTTTCTCTGAGGACAAAGAAGAACAGGAAACTTGGCAGCTACCATCTATCTTTCCCAGAAAGGAAAAGTCAGGCCACTGAATCACATGCCATGCTACAGGAGTAGGGTCTCCTCTACCACCTCCTCCTATGAACTCATGAATCATTGTTCCAAATTACTCAGCCAGGGAGCCCCACTGCTTTACTGATGAAGGTGGGGCTGTAATTCAGGATTCAAATGAAAGGGCATGCCTCGGCAACAGGGAGCTCACTTTCCCCTTAGACCTGTGAGTACTGACCAAGATTATGATTACGGCCTGTGGCTGCTGTGCCTTGGGTAACAGGACTTCTTAACCTCCCCAGGGTCAGGGACTGAATCCCTCCCTCCTGTGGTCAAGGCAGGGTCTAAACAGGCTAAGTGGCTACGTTAGTAGTACTGACACTAGCAAAACAGGCCTCTATGTCCTTCGATTGGTATGAGTAACTTCATTTTGGGGAAAGAAAAAATTATATCTAACTACGCCACACTTGTGCTCCCAAGAATAGCTACAAATAATTAACAGGCTCTGTTTCTCCTCCATCCCAAGGTCAGGGACACCCTGTTTTCTTTGCAAGGTTGTCCATAGAAAGAAACAAGTTTGCTTATTTTACCAGGAAGGTCCATCATTTAGTTTCAAAAAACAACACTGTTTTCTCTCAGGGTACAAAAAGTCTACTATGTGCTCAATTTAAGGGAATTCTTCCTTTTGAATTCCCCTGTAGCTACAAGTTCCTGAATAAAGCTTCTTCTGATTTGTGAGGTGTTTTTTCCTCAAGACAGTTAGATAGAACAAACATTATTACTACATTTTACAGATTTAAAAACTGAAATAAAATTTATTATTTTAAAAGAAAGGCTTGTGCTTTCTTGAGAATTTTATGTAAAAAATTCTGACTGAAGATTGGCTATATTTCACTCTCTTGTAAAATCTGTAAGCTGACAGGTATTAATAGCTGTAATGAACTAAGTAGATCAGTATAACAAAAATTGAATTTGATTCATGATAATGTGTAAACATGATGCTAATTAACAAATTTCCTAATAGACATTTCCTATTTGAGGACATTAGCCCAAATTTAGGCATTAGCTCTTACATTTTGTTATATATAGAGAGAGTGATATGTTATCTATAATATGTCAGTTCTATAAAACATGCCAGTGGTCCATTGCAAAGATCAATCATTAATAAACTGATGGATTAGAGTTCTGATAGCAATTCCACTGTAAAGAATAGTCATGTTGTCCTAAAAATGACACTATGCCTTGATTTCAGAATCAGTACATAAAACTACTGACTGAGCTTCCTTGCTTTTTCAAAATGAAAGAAATGTGAAGTTCTATCATATTTGGGGAAATTAAGTACAGTACCATCCACTAAGTGGTGCTAATGACTATAATAAAGTCAGAAGTCTTTAGTTTAAGTCAATATACACATGATTAGACTTGTTTTCCCCCTTAGTTCTTACGATACAAAAGTGATAGAATTTTAGGGTGAATATTCCCATATGTAACCTTGATAGGGTAATCTTGCCTCTTTCTACTGGCTAATGGCCAATTTTCCTTACTTACTCTCCTCCATGAATCTAAGACGATCCAGAGGAATGTTCTGAGCCAGAACTGATTTCACACACAAAAGAACCAAAAAGCCCATACTTCTCTCTTCCCTTGCAGTCTGTGGGTGAGGAAGAATTGCTGTGAGCCTCCAGGTAGAGGAAGGGTACAGAAAGAAAGGCTACCATGTATCCCTGAGAGTACTGTGCCTGTTTCTTCTATGTTTATTCTTTTTTGATCATAGGTGAATGAGAATCCAGAGAAGCAACGGACCAGGGTGTGACTTTGTGAGCTTTGAAAAGTCACCATCAGAGGTCCCTTTGGCAACTGGAGTCAGTACAGAGACCACCAGAGCTGACAGCAACAATAATTAAGTCTGGTGAGGAGTGACCTGCTTGATCCAGTCCAGCAGTAGATTGGCCTAGTATTGACCCAGCTGCTAAGGCACCCTGTTCTACAAGAAGCTAGCCCAGCTGAGCAAGCTAGTAACACATATACATTTTTTAAATTTTATTTTAAATATAAATACAAAGTAGGAAAAGAAAAAAGAAACAAATTTAAATATTAAAAGTAAAATGATACAAAATAATAAGGAAAAGCATTGCCATGTGCCCAGCAGAACATAAGAGAGGATTCAAAATATACAGGAATAAATTTACATTTCAAGAAAGCCTATATAATAAATACTATACATTGTATTGAGAGCTGTCCATCTTTTCTTTGCTTCCTTGTAAGTTTTCTTTTGTTCTTTGCTGTGCACTTTTCACCTTGTTTTTTTTTCTCCTTTTCTGCCCCCTCCAGGAGGCTATAATTAAGCACAGATATGCATACCCATATACATATAGATACATACATACATACATACATACATATATACACAAATACATACATATATATGCCCATACATACATACACCTACTTACACATACACTTAGATATCCATAATTATATTCATATATAGACATATACATTCATATGCATCTATGTAAGACTGTACTATCCTTATTTATCCCCTGTTTCTCTGAGGGTAGATAACCTTTTTCTTCGAAAGTCCAAGTCTTTCCATATTTTTCCAAGCCCACCAACTCATGATTTCCTAGACCACAGCAATATTCCAACCTTATACTGTCTAGTTGTTTTAAATAGTCCAAAACAACATTGACGAATATGGTAATGTCCCTATTTTTCTACACATACATATTTACAAACACATAAATGCATCTTTTAAGAGTTCCCTTATTAGAAAACAAAAGCTTGGAGAGGACAGACATCTAACTTATTCAACTATATTTTCTCCCTAGATAGTGCTCTGAGCAACACATTGCATGGTCCATCCTGATGAATCACATGTCCTGATTTCAACTCTTATTCTAGGGTGTCTTCAGTCTGTCTAACTTAGTAAACAACATGGACAAGCAGGATTTTTCTTTTCTAAATCCAAGATTGAGATTATCATAGCTCAAAAAATTGGGTGGGGGGGAAGCCATTAACATGAAGAGCACATCACCAATAGTTGTTTACATGTTATCTCCTCTATTATACCATGAACTCCTTGAGAGTAGGGACTGGTTTTTTGCCTTTCTTTGTATTCTCAGTGCTTAGCACATACTAGGCACCTAATAAATGCTTGTTGACTAGACCTGACCAATAGCAAATGAGGTGCCTAAGGAGAAATCCTCCACTTTCACAAAATCTCACAAAAGTCATAGTAATAGTCAAAGATTGGGCAATCATAATTACTCGGATTTGGTGAAAGATTTTTGTGCCCTTTAAATCAAGGTAGCTAGCAGGTACAGCACCCAGCCTGGAGTCAGAAAGACCTGAGCTCAAATCTGGCCTCTGACACTTTCTAGCTCTGTGGCACTAGGCAAGTCACTTAAAAAAATTCTGTTTGCTTCAATTTCTTAATCTGCAAAATGGAGATAATAATATCACCTAGGTTGTCGTGAGAATCAAATGAGATAATAATCATAAAGTGCTTAGCACAGTGCCTGGCTCATAGTAAGCACTATGTTAGCTATTGTTAAATATCGGGTTCCTGGAAGAAAGCCACTTACCTTGATGAATAGGTGCATGATGCCAATCGTCACTGAATTTGCCTCCTAAGTGCCGTCCCTGGTAGTAAGTTTGCTCTTTTCCTGCAGTCTATAGACAGACAGACAGACATATACATACATACACACACATGTGTACACACACACACAAAGAAATAGTGTCACCCTCTTCAAGTTTTACTATTGCTAAAAGCTGTAATAATAGTAGCAGTGGCCTTGATGTTGTGACAGATTGCATGCTATATTTATATCCAGTTCTCACTTCATGGCTCCAAGGCGGCATTAAGATTTCAGGTTCTTTGAAGAATGTTTGTGTAGGCATAAGGAGTACTTTGTAACTTCATGAAAACTGTACCCCACTCATTGTCTTCATTAACTCTCATAATCCTTTACCAAGTGTGAAATAAAACGTGCTCTTCCTTATGCAGCTGCATTACTCAACACATTGATCCCACCACTGTTAGTTTTGTATACATAAAGACATGCTTTTACTGAAATGTCCCTTATAATTCAGCATTGTAATTTTGCTTAACACATTTCTGATTTAAGGGATACAACACATTTTCTTGTTATAAAAAGTGATATCAAAACATTAAAATGTTAAGCGCTTACTGAAGGAGTTTAGGAATGAGATCAAGATAGCTGTGCAATCCCAGGATTTTATCTTTCCTGAAAACTACATATGTTATACCATTCTTAATGGCTCCAAAGCATCCTAATACTTTTATCTGCCTTCTATCCTTTCTGTTCTTCTCTGCATCAATGCCATGGTTGTGGTGATACGTTAGTGACTGTGAGCAGTTCCAAGCTGAGGAAGTTACAGTGGAGTATAGCAAGGAAGAAACCTTCTTAGGCTAAAACATTCTACTTTTCTTCCCCACCCCCATTTCACGCACTGGCCTTTTAAAAAGTATATAATAAGTTGAGGGGGGAAATGGGATTGAGATTTTCAAATATTGAATCCATATATTAACCAAGTGGGGCACTAAACAAAGGAAAATACAAGAATCTATTTATAATTTGAACTTGTATTTTATCACTGAACAGAGAACCCACAACCTCGAGTGAAATTTTTGGAAATTTGGTATGAGAAGGGCAGCATAAAATGATCCAAGTACTAATGCAATTTGTGTTGAACATGCTACTAATTTTCACTTTTTTGTTCAAGCCTCCAGATTCAGACTGTCTGGAGCCAAAATATTTTTATACTTATCTAACACCAAAATAGCCAATAAAAGAAGCTAGTGATATGAGCTGCTAAGAGAATACAGTTTAAGTTAAAGTGTCTCATATGAAATACATCCTTCAGCCTACTGACCTTTCACCAAAAAAAAAAATCCTCTGACATACCTTGCTTGTGTCAGTAGCACAAATTTTGGTCTTTGCTCTAACATCAAGAAACTCTCCTGTATGGGGCACTTTGTTGGGAATGCTATTATAATATGGATGTTCTGCTCTTTCTCCCTCTTCCTCCGTCCATGGTTCATCCAGACTTTGCCTGCTGTAAGAATAGGTTTGACATTGCCTTATGCAAGGAATATATGATTGCAAAGCAATCAACTAGTCTAATGAATATTATTCATTTCTCTAATAAGATAATTTCATCACCCACATAATCTACAGCCATCTCATCTTATAGTGCTGACTACTTCCCTTCTGAAGTATCTGCCAACTATTCAAATGAGTTGTGCTCAGAAAAATTCAACTTTCAGGTTTTCTTCTTATTCTATACTGGTAACAGTGCATAGGGTTGTACTCCACCCTACACACTCATCCATATTCTCTGTCTCTCTTAGGTCACTCCTAAAATGAATGATTCTGAATTAAGCTGAAAGTGTACCTCCACTTTTCATCTGTCCTTGCCATTGTAGAAGATAAGAAAAAAAAATCTGTTTAAAGAGACAATATGTGTGTGTGTGTGTCCTCTTCTTTTCTCAACCCTTTGGTACCCTAACTCCTCACAATGTATATCAGTCAATCAATGGATCATCAAAAATAAGCATTTATTAAGTGCTTACTATGTGTAAGGCACTGTGCTAAGCACTGGAGATAAAGAGACCAAAAAAAATGAAATAGTCTTTACTTTCACTGATTTTAAATTGCATTGGGAGAAAGAACATATAAACATATAAATAAATGCAGAATAAATATAAAATAAATAAAAAGTAATTAAATGCAATGTGGTTGAGGAGGAAGAGTACAAGTAGTTGTAGAAACCAGAAAAGCCTTTGCTAAGTGACTAGTATTTGAGCTGTGTGAAAAATCTGACCAAACGGCTTAGCACAGAGAACATCACTTTTTTCCACACTCCATTTTATTTTTTTTTTAGTCATAGCTTTTGTTTTCATACCATCTCCATTTTTCAATGTGTCCCCCTCCCAGAGAGTTATCTCTTAGAAAAGAAAAATGAAAGCTAAAAAAAATGCCTACCAGTAAAGAACTTGAAAAGAAAATCTATTCTACTTTTCCTAAATCTGGTTCCCAAGGCTCTTGATCTAGCCCAAGAACTCCTCACAACTCTACCACTGCCTCTAACTCCTACCACCTCTCTCTACATGATCCTTTTATCTCTTGAGGCCATGTAGTTTCTATTTTCCTGGGGATGTATTCTTTGGAGATGCCCCAGAAATGTGCAGGTTTCCTCTCCAGGAGAATTCACCTCTCTGCGTAGCTCCTCTCTTTTTTGTGTGTCTCAATCTCAAATGATAAGCTTCATCTTTTCACATGCCCAATGAAAGTAATTTTTCCAATTACCTCTTCCATCAAACAAAGTTTGCTGTGGTGTTTGAGTGTATGAGTAGGCATATGAGATTGTATGTATGTCTATAGACAAAGTCTAAATATTTGAGTATGCCTATAAACATTGTAAGTTTAAAAAGAGAGATGGTGACTGGTTAAGCAAAGGAGTGTATATGAAATATGAAAGAAAAGTAGAGAGAATAGGTAAGTGACAGGAAGTTCATGAGAAAAAGCTACGTATATGACAGTTCAAATGTGATCAAAGAGAATAGGAGCTGGGAAATTGAGAAAGAGAAAAGACTATATGAAAGGTAGGTTAAAAAGGATGGGATAACTAGGATATTAATATTTTAAAGCCTACATTTGTGAAACAAGGAAATTACTATAAAATGCCACAATGCGAAGGCCACCTCAATGGAATTTTAGCAACTGAAAACTATTTTCTTTTTCTTTTCTACATATTTATGATGCTGTCCCACAATAGCTGACTAACACTGAATGGCTTTTAATCGTTTTGAAATTCAAGGTGCCTCTGTTCTGACCACAAACCATCTAAGGGAAAGATGATGGTGTGGTAGGCCATGCCTTTAGTTTTCAGCATTTCCACTTCTGCCTGGTAGCAAACCAGTTAGTGATATTTTCTGTGGTGACTTTTAGAATATGGTCCTCCAAGCTTTGGGAACTGGAATTCCCTATCCTTATCAAGAACAGATTACCTAAAAATCAATGACATCTTATGGCCTATCCAAATACCATCAAATAATAATACCCTAAACAGTAAAGGCTTGGTTTGTCCAAGTTACTCTAAGAATCTACATTTAAGGATTCATTAATCTAGGGAACCAAATTAAAAATGTGAAACAACTGATGAAAGAACCAAGAAATAGTTTGCCTCCTTGTCTTCTTGCTGCTTTACCAAACTCTCAGTTCTTCCCATGCATTTCACACAAAGTGGCTAAAAACTAGCACTTACCTTTCATGAGTCTATTGGTGTCTTAGGTAGCCATGGAATTTGAAAACTGTCAGAGACCTGGGATATCTTCTAGTTCAAACTTTTAATTTTGCAGGGACCTAAAATCCCACAACCAATTAATGGTAAGGCCAAAACTAGAAGCCAGCTCTCCTGATTCTCAGTCCTGTGTCTTTTCATTATATCATGCCACTTCTTCAATTCAGGAAATTTAAAATTTGTTTCCAGTCCAATATGCAGTTGAATTTTTTTCATAAAAAAGTAAAATCTATTAAGAAAACATTGCAATGAAATAATCACTGAAATCAGGCACTCTGTATGGTAGAAAATATTTTTCTGGAAACCTAGGGATAAGAGTATCACTTATGCGCCCCTGCATGCAAGTGCATGTCTTGGTATTACTTTTGATGAATGAAAAACAAAAATAGGACTGTTCAAGAAAGATGAAAGCTAAAAATGAATATGAATGCTTCATAATGTCTTTAAAGGCCATATATCTACATATCAACAATAATACACTGATTTCTTTATCAATTACAAGAATAAAACATTGGAATTAGTTATCACTAGGTGGATTTCAGGCAAGTAAAAAGAAGTTATGTTTTTGATAGTATACTATAAACTAATGGAACAAAGAGATAGGATAGGCTAAAAATGTCCTTAAATTGGTTCAAGAAGGCTTAGAAAGACTCACAGATGATACATATGTAACAGGTTCTTAAGGAAGGTAGAAATGTTGGGAGGCAGGCCATCTTTAACCTTTTGAGTTTTGCATTGTGGATTGCAGCCATGCTCCACTACAATACATTCACAACTTCCTAAAGTCATAGCTATAGAGCTGAAAGGGATCTTAAAGGCCATCGAGTCCAAACTTTTTACTTTACAGAAGAAGAAAATGAGGCACTGAAAAGTGAAGAGACATGCTCAGGATTCCACAACTGTGTCTGAGCTGGAATTAAACTCAGGTCTTCCTCACTTCATACTCCAACCACTAGGTAATGATGTCTCTGTCACAGGCAGTGCATTAAACCAGGTGAATCTTAGCAGACTGGCCCAATATGACATGTCTTGTTTCATCTTATCTTCTTATAATATAAGGAAACTGTGGGCAATTAATTTAAGCCGTCAGGTAATCTTCAACTCAAATGAGATTTATGTAAGGTGAAGGAGGATTAAACTATAAATGACAGCATTGTTTTGGGCGATAAGTTTCCAGAAGATACAAACTGTCAGATCAATAATTTCACAGAGTAGCTAGCACCAGGCCTCTTACAAAAAGGGATTTTTTTTTTAGAAGTTGCTTTTCACTGATGCTGATAAGACAGATGCAATGAGAAGTGACATGAACCTGGTGGGAAATGATTCATGGAGATAATTCATAGTTGTAGGGTCCATTCCAGGAAGAAAAACAGTACAATGAAATATGTTTTAATGTAACCTTGGTTACTATTACTGTAGTTTCCAGGAAAAATGGTTTTCCAAATGTTGAAAGTATTATTCAGATGTTGAGCTCCATATGTTTATCTCCTTATGCCAGTATCATATTATATTCCAGATGATTCTGTTAACCAGAAATTTAGCACCTTAATTCAAAACATAGTACTAGAAAATTGCTCTTCTCTTGCATGCATTTTTAAGAACATTAGTAACAAAGCATTTTCTGCTTTTACTTACCAGTCATGAAGAGCAGGTATCTTTGAAGGACATTGTAAATACTGCTTGAATCGAAGCTCAAAAGCTTGACCTATAGTGCTGATAACATCTCGAGCCAGGCCATCAGAGCATTCCAGGATATGGCAGGCTAATGGAAGCAAGGAAAATAAAGCTGTCCATGCAGAAGTCTTTGTTTATACTTTACCACAAATAAAGCTTCCTAAAAGCAAAATCTATTCCAAAGTGAGATGGTTTTAAGAACCATTTACTTTTTATAATATTTTCAAACTATTTCACCATATTCATTCTGTCATATGACAGCTTCATAAAAAATCCCTAGAGGCAAGATGTTAATACTATGAAATTCTTGAGAAGTAACCACCACCCTTCATTTAACCAACTTCTTGCATTTTAGACCATATCACAACAAAAGCAAATAAATAAAGGTTTGCCTTTTAGACCCTGCCTAATTTAGCTTTAAAGTGGTTCCAAATTAAGTGAAATTAAGTGAAAAAATGATATAGCTGATTTGTGCATATAGAAACATAAACTCTTGAGGTTCCACAAAACTTACTGTTTTTATGTGTTTATTTTTTCATTTATTATCACAGTAGTTATTTACACTACATTGATTCATAGGTTTTGCTTCCATTTCCAGTTTTCAAGGTTATCAAAATCAAAATATCGACAACCAAATATATGACTGCCTATGGATCACTGAAAGTTCTTGCGTGTCTAGCTCTTCCAGCTCTGTGTGACTCATCACCAAAATGTCCCGTAATGGGCAACTAATTTCCCTAGAGCTCTCCAATACCCAGAGGCAAAAAAAAATCTGTGAATTTTCTGTGCAACCAATATTAAAACAACTCATTGGTAAGAGGGAGGGAAGGTAACAAAGATTTATTAAGTGCTTATTGTGTGCCAGGCACTGCCCTAAGGGTTTTCCAAATATTATCTTATGTGATCCTCACAACAGCCCTGAGAGGTAGATACTATTATGATTCTTAAATTAGAGTCGAGGAAACTGAGGCAGACAGAGATTAAGTGACTTGTCTAGGGTCACACAGCTAGTAAGTGACTGAGGCTGGATCTGAAGTCAGGTCTTCCTGATTCCAGGTCCAGCAACCTATCCTACCTGTCTAGGTAAGAGTATGAAATAATGATGTGAAAAGAAACTAGCCATCCTAGTCTGATATTGAACTGTTGGCAATTCTATTTTCTCCATTCTCATGGAGAAGCTAAGGATCATCAAAACGGGCCAAAGACTAGTCAGTAGGAAGGAAGAGAAGAAGCAGGAATCCCAAATAAGTCATATAAATTGTAATCAAAAGTAGAATATACAAGCAATATATAATGTTCTTATAAAACACTTTACCCTAAAAGCAATAAAGAAATTTTATCATTAGAACATTCACTTTTAAATTTTTATTAAATTATTTTTATTGAATTTATTAAAATAATTATTAAATGTTATTAACTATTATATTTTATTAGACTTTTAAATAAACTAATAAATTTATTAAATTTAAATTTATAAACTTTTAAATTAAATTAAAGGGACAACAGTAATAGATTTAGTGACTAGTATCAAAAAAAATTGAATTCAGAGTCTTTCAGCTCTAATCCCACATGCTCTAGACTCTCAAAATTTATTCTGCAAGGTTCTATCCAAAAGAAGTCAGTATAGGAAATCCAACAGTCACAAATAACTACTCATAAGACAGGTTATAAAAATGAATTTCTATAAATAAGATCATTTTAAACACTGTGAAGTCTAAGTTTGGAAGTAAATTCAGAAATTCTCAAATTCTAATTGTCATTTTTTTTCAATTACTTCATATTTTAAAACATATAAATTCCTATTTCCAAAGAGATTTAGTTAATATCTCTTTAAGAAAAAATTCTTAGTAACTTTTCTTTTCTTCACATTAAATGCTATATTAGGAGGTGACCGTTTTACCATAACCATGAGATACAAGGCAGCATGACAAAGTGGATAGAGAACCAGCCTTGGAGTCATGAAGACCATGGGCTCTAGTCTTGCCTTTTAAGAGTATTAGCTATGTGAGCACATAAATCAGTAACTACCGCTCTGAGGGTATGATATTTGAGCTTTGGGTTGATTTATTTAGGTACTGGATATTAAAATAGAAAGGTAACGTTTCAATAATTAAAGTGTAGTTTGGAGTATCTGACCATCTGAGCCCAGGCCATAGCTCATTCTTTGACTTGCTAAGTGACTTCGGGTGAGCCTGAACCATTCTCCTATATCATCATATTTTCCAATTTGTCAAGTGAGGACACTCTGTGCTTCATACAAAGGCTGTGAATGCAGATGGCTGTGAAATACAATGAGCCTTTCAAAAAAGAGAGTATTTAGTTAAGGTTAGAAGAAGGAGAAAAGATCCTTGCAGAAATATTGCTGTAGCAAACAGGAAGGGTCCTAGTTTCCAGAAAGCTCCTTTCCATAGGAGACAAATGCGAAGTGCCTTTTGGTGTTATGCTTAAGGAGACCCCCTTACAATAGAAGGTGGAACGTATTTTTATCTGTTTATTTTTCAAATAGTTCTCCATGTATTTATACTGAAGGATGTCTTTCTTTCCTTCCTCTTTGTCACCTTGCAAGAGACTTGTAATGCAGAATGTACAGCCCTAGTAATCGTTCCCTTGGCAACCGACAGAACTATACTGGGCATAGAAACAGAGACATGAAAGGTAACCTTGTTAAAAAAGAAAACTGAAAAGAGGAGGAAAAATACAAAGAAATCATTTGCTTCTCCTACACAGGCTGATTCTTTGCCTTCTTGGAAAGGTACAATTTGAGATAAACTATTTCCATAATAAAAGCCATCACCTAGGTACTTGTCATCTAATGATAATTAAATACCTATGGTTCACTGTGCACCATACTGTGCACAAGTTAGAGTCTCATAAGGTATCCAGCAGTTCATATTATTAGGTTTTATTCTCCCAGGACATAACTCCCTCTCTATGGCCAATGTTCCCTTTGAAATCAAAATTAATACTGTACATAGGAGGGGGGAAGGAGTTTACCAGGGAAATTAACTCAAAGATAATATTTGAGTTACATTATTGCCTTCATTCCTTTGATATTCAGGTCATATTTTCAGGTACAGGAACAATGGATGATACCAGAGAAGACTCAGGAATATCTGTTGGTATTTTTTGTTACTCTAACATTCATCATTTGACATGCATCAAGCATCTTTGGTAATCTCAATCTTTGGTAAACTCAAATCATGTACTAGATGCTTTATATTAATGCCTACTAGGGCATGAGGCTACATGAATTGCACAGGTAGAGCTTTATGAATATTAATGTAATCTGTAAAGTTAAGAGGTTAGAGATATTCTCTAAGGTTTCTTTCAGCTCTAAATTCTGTGATTGTATGAATATGAGAAGGGAAATAGGAGTCAAGACTTAAGGTCTGATAACTGGAATTTTCAGCTCCTGTCTGTATATTGGCTATGGCAGGATTTAAGTAATATAATTCTACACTGAGAGAGCATCTCAAAGAAAGTTTTGTATGAGCAAGACAGTGGAGATAATAGTAGAATTTGGGGAACTTTCACTCCATAGGTAATTTAGCAAAGATACTTGTATCCTTTGGTAATATTCTTATCATTAGATCAGAAGGATTACTAACTGAAACAGCATCAATAAGAAATTCAATTGAGGGGCATAGCGGATGGCAGTGGTACAGAGGGCAGTCCCACCTTATATACAATTGTTGTCCTATAGAGAGTGATAGCCCTCACCCCCAGGGGAAATGGGATGGGAGTAGTAGCTCAAGGAGAGAAAGGAAAGAAATAAATGTTTATTGTCTATTATATGCCAGGCTAAGCACTACACAAATATTATCTCATTTGATCCACTCAATAACCCTGGAAGGTAAGTACTATTATTATTCTCATTTTACAGTTGAGAAAACTGAGGCAGATAGAGGTTAAATTACTTGTTTAGGGTCCCACTGCTTCAACACAGGCCTTCCTGATTCCATGCCCAGTGTTCCATCCATTTTGCTCCCTAGCAGGAAGTGAATGGCACCACAGGAACCGTGGAGGTGGGCGACGAAAGAGTACACACTACATGTCCATGAGTCAATACGGTGAGGTTCAAAGATGGAGGGGGTGATCACCACAGGGACAAAGCTAGTAAATGCACCCTCTTTCAATTGTCATTGATAGGGAGGTCAGATTGTGGGTTAAAAGATTTTGCCAGCAAGATCTATAAAGAGGTAAGCTCTTCAAAAGCCACTAAAAAGCAAAAAAAACCAAAAATATAAACACATTCGAAGAGCTTAGATGATATAATGACTGACACGATTGGAAATATCCTTAAAGAGGTCACAACTAATTTATATAAAACAGAACAGTTAAAGAACATCAGAAAAAAATCACAGAGAGCTGCACATTAAAACAACTCTGGGGTATCACCTCATACCTATAAGATTGACCAAGATGGCAAAAAAAGAAAACAACAGATAGTGGGGGCAATGTGGGAAAATAGATACATTAGGGCACTATCAGTAGAGCTGTAAACTAGTCCAACAATTCTGGAAAGCAATTTGGAACTATGCACAAAAAAGCTATTAAACATGTGGAGTACTGAATAACCTTTGATACAGCAATACCACTATTAGGTCTACACCCAAAAAAGTCAAAGAAAGAGGAAAAAGGCCTATATGTAAGAAATATTTAACAGCTCTTTTGTGGTAGTAAAGAATTGGAAACTGAGAGGATGCTGATAAATTGGGAAGTGGCTGAACAAGTTGCAGTATATGAATGTGATAGAATATTGTAGTGCTGTAAGAAATGGTAAAGGAGAGGGCTTCAGAAAAATTTGGGAAGACTGGAATGAACTGATGCAAAGTGAAGTGAGCAGAACCAAGAGAACAGTTTATACAGTAATCACAATATTGTAAAGATAAACAACTTTGAAAGACTTGGTAACTCTTATCAACAGTGATCAACTATAATTCCAAAAGACTCACGAGGAAACATGCTATCCACCTCCAGAAAGTGTATTCATGCACTCAGAGTGCAAACTGAAACACATTTTCTTTGATTTCTTTCTTTTTTTATTTTTTTGGAATATAGTTAATCTGGAAATTTGTTTTACATGTA